GTTACGGCTTGGGTGCAGTACTGTCGCACATCGTAGACGGGGTAGAACGACCAATTGCGTTCGCGTCACGATCCTTGAACCCTAGTAAGCGTAACTATGCGCACATTGAAAAAAAGCTCTAGCCATTGTATTTGGAATTAAGAAATTCCATAAGTACCTCTACGGCCGCGACTTCAACGTGATCACAGGTCACCAGCCACTCACTGTGATCTTCGATGTCAAACATCACACAAGTGCGGTAGATGCAGCTCGAGAGCATCGCTGGGTCCGGTTCCTAGCGAATTATCGGTTTCGTATTCTGTACAAAGCAGGAAAAAAGATCAGCAACACCGATGGCTTGTCGCGCCTACCACTGTCAGATAGAATGGACGAGGCAGAGGAAAATTTTACTTTTCGCCTGTCAAAGAACTGCCGATAACTGCAAAAGATATTAGCGAGAAACAACAAAAGACCCGGTAATGAGCGTGGTACGCGAGATGGGAGACATGGCGTGGCTGGCCTCAGGCTGTAGACGATAAATACCAGCCTTTCTTCGTAAGGCGATTTGAACTTTCCGTGGATGACGGTTGCCTAGTTTGGGCTAACAGAGTGGTGATTCCGAAATCTCTCAAAAGTGAAGTAGTGTCATTGTTGCATGAACAACATATTGGCATAACCAAAAATGAGGGCACTTGCAAGGTCAATGGTGTGGTGGCCTAAGACTGACAGTCGCCTTGAGCAGACTGAAACAGTGTGAAATTTGTCAAAGCGTAAGATGTGCTGAACAGGCCACACCACTGACACCTTGGAAGTGGTGCACAAACAGTTGGGAAAGGGTGCATCTTGACTTCGCTGGAAAGGAAGGCAAGTTGTTTCTAGTTGCTGCCGACTTTTACTCTAAATGGCTAGAGGTAATAATGACATCGACGACTGCACAGAAAACTGTCGAAACAGTCCGGTCATTGTTTGCACGCCATGGCATTCCAACTGAGGTTGTTTCAGACAACGGACCACAGTTCCGAGCGAAAGAGTTCGAGGATTTCTTGTCGGCAAACGGAGTAAAGCATACTCTGCCCCCTCCTTACCATCCCCAATCGAACGGCTCAGCAGAACGCGCAGTTCAAACGGTAAAGCTGTCGCTGCTGAAGCAGTTATTAAAGGATGAACGAAGCAAAAGTCCGAGGTCCCTTCAGCACAGGGTTGATAACTTTCTATTCGCGCACAGAACAACACCTCACACCTTCACGGGGAAGACTCCTGCCGAATTGTTCTTGAAACGTAAACTTCGTACAAGGCTGTCTTTGTTGAAGCCAAACATGGAGGCAGTAATCAAAGCAAAGTCTGAGAGGGAGGTGTGTGGCGCGATTAGGCGCCGAGGCACACCTAGAGTATTTTCCGTAGGTGATCGCGTACTCGTTCGTACTGTGCGTGGTGAGCTCGTGAAATGGCTTGCAGGAAAATCACGGAAGTGAAATCGGCCATGACGTACTTAGTCTTTGTAGACAGACGAATACGGTTCGTACATGCAGCTCATCTGCGACGTTCGTTCCTGGTTCCTGATGATTCAGCCGAAATGTCCGTTTGTCACATGGAATTGCCGCATGGTAGTGACATGCCACAAGACGAGCGTCATGTCGAACCTGATTGAACACTGTCTGTAGTTGATGTAAGTGCAGAGCAAGTGTCGCCGCGCAAAACTCAAATGGCGTCATCACCGGGACCGGTTGATAAATCGTCACCTTTAGTGCCTAGGAGTTGCACTCGTGCGACGAGCAAGCCGGATCGGCTTATGTACGAGGAGTTTTAAACATGTTTGGGGGGAAGTATTGTGTCAGAGCATGACTTATATTTGCGGTGTCGTATTGCTACGCGCTTTGTTTTCCTGTATTGATCGCGCGTGCCATCCATTTGATTGTAATAGGTGCTGCCACTAAAAGGGACGCACCGTTGTACTGTTGTGTTGTTGCGCGAGATAGGACTGATTTGAAAACGACGAGGACGATGTGTGTAGGACGATGGGAACGCAATGCTTTTGGCCTTGGACGTATACACCCGTATTCACAAGGCGCGAGTAGTGCCTGTTTAACCACTGACTAGCGACGTCATCAACTAAAATGATCACGTGGCAAGCGGTACTCGCCGCTAAGTGAGCGCTTGGTATTCACCGGTCGTGTTTAGGGCCTAGTCGCCCCGTGCGACTAAGGAGTCGACTAACAAATCTTAGTCATGGGGTAGGACTAGTTTGGCCGGTGTTTAGCGGGCGACTAGCGGCTTAGCGCCATGGCCGACTCGTATCACCGCTGACCGCCAGCGCTATAACAAAGCACTTAATGTCTCGGAACGCTGGGGGACTTATCTAGAAAGAATCGGAGGAGCAAATATTGACTAAATAGCCATGTTCAACGGCCAGAGACATTGCTAAAGCGATCTCGGCAGGGCGATGGACGGCGCGAAGAAACGCATTTACGGGCGCTTCGATATTCGTTTATGTCGCTGGCAATGCGGCTTCCGTGTTTCTCCCTGGCGTTGTTTTGAAATTTTTCCTTGTAAAACTCTGTCTAAGACAATATGTCTCTCATTGTAACTTTTTTTTCCTGATAAACATTTAAATATCAGTTTTTATAGGATAAAATACCAATTTACGCAGCGGCGTTGAAGTTCGCGTGCCCGTGACCTATCTTTTTGTGTCACTTCCGCTTCTTAGTTCTGACTAGATAGTCACCCGCTCGCTTCGCGCTCGTGAATACCGCAGAACATAATCGCTCGTTAGTCGCGGATTTCTCGTTTAGCTCGCAACTACTTAGTCGTGCTACTAACCTTAAAACGCCGCTAGTTAGCCGCGCCTGGTGAATACGGGTGAGTGTCTTCTGCTTGGATGTCTGAGTGTGTAAATGGTTGACTCAAAGGGAGTTTCTTAATTACAACAGTCTGGTTGAGTTGTTTGCCCCTTCTTCTTTCTACTCCACGATTTTCTGCTTTTCAAAACACAGTCTCAGGTTTTCAATCATCATGCAGACTACCTTGCTTTCGAGGCACTCCACATTCCGGATGCCGTGGTCTGCTTCTTCACAAACCCCCTCTCCCAAAGATAAGGAGAGATCTTCATAGTGCGCGGGTGCGGCCGAGATTCGCTTCGGCAGCCCGAAGACACGTTTGGATGCCGCGATCTTATGCCGTCAACTTCTGAATAAGTGGCATTTTCAACGCTTCGTTTCTGAAGCAACAATCACGCGCTGGTGCGCCTTGAATTCTTAAATAATGAAACGCTTAATACTCGCAGACAGTGCTACAAAATGTAAGTAAAAAGAAGCAGTACGTAAATTCCGTCTGTTGTCCGTCGGATATGTCACAGATTTCGGACCGGCTTGGCTTACTTAGTAGTTGGGCGGGTGGCTGGGCCGCTCGGTGGCCAACTCGCACCGCCATATTTTTGAGGCGAGATTATTTGATAAGGCCAGCTCGATAGATTTCTATCTGTTCTCAATGGGCGGCTACATGTGGGCATCGTTTGCACTCAATGAGTCTCTATCAAAGCAGTATTCTCTTCGCCCACACAATGAACCAATATGAAGAGCGACAGAACAGGTTTACGCACTCGCGTCACCGAAGTGGCTGCCGATGTACACAGTACGTTTACGCACTACCGTCTTCGGATGAATTCTGCGAGGTCCTCCCGATAATGTCTGGTGGGTTTCACAGACCCTTTAGAACGGCCCTGAAAGGCCACACAGACCTTTTAAAACGACCATGAAGGAACGCACGCCTCTCAGAAAGGTATCTTGATGGGCCCCAGATGCCTACTAGAGGAGCCTGGTGGGCCCATCAGACATTTCAGGATATCCTAAAAGGCATCCCAGACCCTCGCCGGGAATCCTGGTGGGCCTCACAGACATTTCTTCAACAGGAAGAGAGCCAACTCGGTGTTGTTTTACTTGATCTTTTTCTTTCGTATTTTTGTACATGCCTTGCCAGTTTTTCTAATGGTTCTAGTGAACGGTCCTACAAACAAATTGTGTTTTCTTATCGTCTATTGTCCCCTTCTTGATGCTTTCTATATTGTTGAACTTCCTCTAGCTCTTTATGGTGCTGAATGCTCTGCTCGTATTTCTCCAGTTACTGTAATATGATATTTTTTTTAAGTAACGAGTAATTAAAGTAATCGGTTACCAATATTTTGTAACAAAATTACATTACAAATTACTTTAAAAAAGTAATGTGGCAGTTAAAAAGTTACTTGAAAAAATAACGAAAAACCTTCGAAGTCTAGGCACTACTAATTTTTTTTTTTTTTAGTTGTGAAGGTTGTTCTTCCGCTCCCATAGTTCGTCTGTGGCACGTACTGGCGTGGACGGCCACTTTTCGCTACTGCCGAGGTGGCGGCGGGCGGCCGAGCACGCGCTCTTGTGAAGAGGCCGCAGTCCACATCACTCCCTTCCCCTCCCCGTCCTCTCGCAACGCCTGCGGAAAACATTCCCTGCCAGATTTATCGGAGAATTTTCCCCGCTAATTTTAGCGGGAAATTTCCCTGCTAAACTTAGTGAAAAAAGTTCCCCGCTAAAGTTAGCAAAAAAAAAAGGCCTCTAAAATTTAGAGAAAAATTTTCCCGCTGAATTTTGTGAAAAAAAATTACCTGCTAGGTCTAGCAGAAACATTTCCCTCCAAAATTTAGCGGAAAGAATTTCCATGCCAAATTTAGCGGAAACTTTCCCCCCTAAATTTAGCGAAAAAAATTTCCCAGCTACGTTTAGCGGGGAACTTTTTGCGTTAAATTTAGCGGGAAATCTCCCCTAAATGGGGAGCGAGCAGAAGGAAGGGGGTGGCATAGCCCCTCTCCATACCTTCCCCTTCTCCTCAAGAGGTGCGCTCTAATTCGGCGTTACGGGGAATTGTAAACGGCTTTCATTTTTTTTCCTGCAAGATATTGGTGTGTTCGGTGTGATATTGCTCCTTTGAATACACATAGAGCAAAAAATAAGCTCCGAAATTTTGTTGTAGTATCCCTTTAAAGGGATACTGAACTGTGAAATCGGGTCGACGTTTTTGGTCTTAATCGCAAGAATGGCACGTCATTTAATTTTTACTGGCGCTGGTAAAGCGAAAATACCACGTAAATTTTAATAAACCGGAAAATAAGCATTTTAAGGTGCCCCTGGTGAGCGTCTCCGGAACCTCGCTTCGTGACGTCAAAGACCTCAGAGACCTCGCGCAGCTGCCTCAGGAGACGCGAAAAATCACAACTTTGTTGGTTTGCTGTCACCTGTGACCTGCCGCGTTTACCTCGAGCTCGGTGGCGTGGTTATGGCGACACGTGCGTGCGCCAAGAGCGGCAGCAGCAGCAGCAGTAGCTGCAGCGGGAGCGACGCAGTACCGTCGGATGAGGAGCGCGAGCACCTGCCAGCGAAGAGGCGTAAGGTGCTGCCTTACGCCTGCGACCCGTCCGCGACGTCGGACAGTAATGAAACTTCAACGGAGCCAGCAGCGGAGTCCTCGCCAGACGCTCTGCCGCGAAGTGACAGGCGGCGGCTACTCAACACACGCTGGTAAGAACACGCGCACATGGCGCAGCGTATGTCTTGCATAGGCCCGGGAGAGCGATTGTTTTGGGGTTGCGCGAAGTTGACTTGCAGCCTCGAAGAACCGATTGTTTTGGGGTTGCGCGAAGTTGACTTGTAGCCTCGAAGAACCGATGATAAATGGGGTTTTATATATTATGTTATCAGGTGTACTAGTGACTGACATGCTCTTGGTATCGCCGAGCGGCGGCGAGTAAGCTCCAACCTGAACTTATCGGCTCCATCGTTTGGGCTACAGAAAGATGCGCCTCCTTTTGCTAGAAACTGTCAGTGCTAAGGCAGGGGCTACCCGTGCACCTGTCCCGCGAAGGCGCGTTAGAAATTGAAGATGCATCAGCTGCGTGCGGGCTTGAACCTGCACGTAGTGCCGATACACCGTCGAAGCACTCACGTGCGCGCTGTACGTTTTTTTTTTTGTTGTTGTTTTTTTTTATTATGCACGTGTTTGCGCAATGCTGGGCCCCAGGTTGGGCACTCAGGCCTTTGTGGCATGGGCAGCACTGCTTTTTTGCGGCCCTCTATGCCTGGGTCAAAGATTCCGGAATATGAATAAAGTATTACTATATTATTATACGCAAAAATGTAGCTGCTGTATAGTGACTGCATCGTGGTTGTGCATACTCCCAAAAGGCATCTGAGGCTTGAGCAGTGTTTGGGTGACACAATTGGATTGAGAAAAGAAAGAGGCAAAGTGTGTAGCCACACCAGTGCCCACACAGCATTACAGAAATGTTGACATATGCACTAATTCATGTTTCTACCTTTGGGAAACAGGTGCTGCTGCGAATCCCGGTGTGGCACCATGTCCACACCAGTGGAAAGTGTGTGCTGCAAGGAGCAGTGCAAGGTCAAAGAGAAGGCTGGGAGCCTTCCCTGCATCACGGCACACAGGCTCTTCGAGCTGTACTGCCTGGACAGGGATATCCTGGACCTAGAGTACAGGAAGCTGAGAGTCTGCCGGCCTCTCAGCACAAGAAACATAAAGGAGATAAATGCGTACGTACAGTGAAACTAAATTACTATACTTTTTTACTATCATGTGCACCGCTTTGTAAATAAAGGGAGGATGCAAAGCGAGATTTGCATTAGATGAACCAGAAAAGGCAGTGCCTCAATGTTGGCAGTTGAAGTTTCCGACACAGGCAGGTTTTTATTGGTGGCCTGAAAAACATACCCAAAATTTAGAAGCAAACCATTCATTACATGCTTGCTCGCTCGAATATGCATGTTTTAATGAAACTACAGCTTGTGGCGTCTTGCTGCTGGCCATCGAACTAAAAACAATGAATGCCTTCTAGTTCCAAGTGGATACCTGGCAGTGTAACTAAATAACTTTATTATGTTATCATTGCAGTAAGTACAGGTACACGGCATACTGCCAATTTGTTTGGTGGATACACGGAAGGCTCGGAAAGGAGAACCGGGTCACCTTGCCCAGCTGCGTGGTGACCAGGGTCCGCAAAGAGTTCCCCGCCCCGAACCCTGCAGACTACACGGGCTTCAAGCAGTCAAAGTGCCGAGTAAGTTTGCATGCTATCTACCTTCAAACCTCCTAAATATGTATCTTTTCCTACCAAGCACTTGGGAGCAACAGCTTGCACGAGCAGTACATAATTAATGTTAGAATGAAGAGATCAATATTTGACATATAAGAAACTCACTGTTTATTGCAAACTAACCAATTTTTTACTTTACAAACAATGTGTAACAACGATCACAGACTGGAGACGAGGAAATGGGCCAGAGACGTTTTGAAAAGGAGCTCATGGCAAGGAGCTAGTGGCCTGGGAGCGCATGGCCCAGGGCTTGTGCTCGGAACACATGAGATTGACACGTCAGATCGAACTGCTTTGTTGCTTGTGCATAGTGTAAATAAATGTTTGCATCAACGTAACCAACAATGACCACCAGAAGTTCATGCATTTTGTGCGGAAACCCGCTACGTAACGATTCGACGAAGGGAATCTGGTAGACCGAAGCAATACCTATCGAACGACAGAAGCAACGTTCCATCGAGACAAGACTGAAAGGTCATGGACATCCTCAAGAAGAAACGGAAGACTCTGCAAACACAAGTAACTAAACTCCTCAGCGAGGCAAAAGAATTATTTCAGCTGACTCCAGCAGTCATCGATGACCTAGAGATTTTGATTGAGTGCATAAGCCTCTCTCGGGATCAACTCGGCCACGTAGATGCCGCGATCGAGCCTTTGATTACCGAAAGAGACGTGAAAATGGAGTTCACGCAAATCATAGATTATACTGACAAGATTGTCACATGCCTCACGAAGCTCAGAAAGAAGGCGAAGGGCGTGGAGAACAGCCAACGAGCAAGTGGTCCCTCGAACGATTGGAGAGCAACAGCTGTAGAAAGTCAAGCTTCCAAAATTAGAATTTATCAAGTTCAACGGCAACCGGAAGAATTGGCAAGCATTCTGGGAGTGAAACCACAATCCACGAGAATCCGGAACTGACTCCATCGAAAAAGTTCAATTACCTGAGATCAGCGCTTACCGGAGATGGATCAGCTGCCATCCGAAACTACAGCCAACCGCTCAATGCTATGCGGACGCGATCGACCTTCAACAGCAGCGGTTCGGCAAGCAAGAGACTCTGGTACACAACCACATGGAAAGTCTGATGGACATCCAGAAGGTACCACTACAGGGCAATGCCCGAACCCTGCGTCGTTTGTACGACAGTCTTCAGGCGCACATCTGGGGACTTGGAGTACTGGGTGTGGGCAAGGAATCCTACTGCGCCATGCTCTACTCGCTCCTACTGCGAGCACTACCGAAGGACATGTCCCTGGATTACAACCGGAAGATGTCGTTGGAGGACACCAAGAACGCCACCGCAGTGACGGGCACCAGTCCCGAGTCTCCAACAGAGAATGTTCATCTAAGAGCTCTACAGACTCTACTCAAATTTATTCGAGTTGAAGTCGAGAGCTGGGAAAGGACGTCAGAGGAACAAGAGGACGACTTTGGCGGTAAGCCTGCAATTCGTTTCCCTAAACAAGAACTGCCGAAGAAACTTTCAAACTGCACAAACCTTCGAAACTCTACCGCAGCGGCCTTGTATGGCAAGACTGAAGGCTTAGAGTGTTAGTTCTGCAAATCCGAAGAACACGCCACACCTGACTGCAACGCCAATATTGAGCTCACTGAGAAAAAAAAAACAAAGATTACAGGCTGGCAACAGATGCTTTCGTTGCACAAAAGCAAACCACACGGCGAGAATGTGCCGAAGCACGCCGTGTTGCACCAGGTGTCAAGGATGGCATGCGCCTACTATGTGTGACCCGGATTACGTACTGGAACGACTTTTCGCTGTGAATAAAACAGAAAGCGAAGATAAAACACCGGTCAGTCTTCAGATCAATGGAAAGAACTGCAAGCCAGCAGTGTTCTTGCAGACGGTGACCGCATGGGCCGAGAACAAAAACAAAAGAAGACTATCCCGAAGTCTTTTTGACAGCAGCAGTCAACGTTCCTTCATTACGGAGGAGCTGTCCCAGAGACTCGGTTGCAAACAACTCGGGATGGAGATCCTCACGTTCGGCGTGTTCAGAGGCGAAAGCACCGAAAGTATGTTTCGCAGGGTGCAGCTTACTTTGCGGGACCAACGGTACTACAAAAAATATGAAATCGACATGCTAGAAACACCTACCATCTACGAACAAAATCTCCCGAGCCCAGATTAATCCATCGTCGCGACATTAAAGGAGCTCGGTTGCTTAGTAGGAGATGCCATGACCGGAGTGGAACATCGGGGCATCGATATCCTGCTTGGCCCGGATCACTACTGGGAGTACATCATTGGAAAGATTCACCGACAGAGGAAGCTTGACTGCAGTGCAGCCCGTATTCGGATGGGCGGTTCAGGGACGAAAAGGGTCAAGCTCCCCGGTTATTAGTTGCTCCAGGGTGGTCATGCGGAGAACGGCGGTCCAAGAGCCCGAACCCATGCCAAGCCTCAAGCAATTCTGGGAACTTCAGAGGATGGGTGTCATCGACGCATCGGTGGACGATCCTTCGGACAACGATGTCATGCGAGACTCCGAAACTATGATCGCCAAGACCAATGGGAGGTGCGAAGTCGGCCTTCCATAGAGGGCAGACATCAGGTTGGCAAATGACAAGGTTGCTGGAATGCCACAGAAGAACTGCAATGTGTGACATGGCACCACCTGATGGGAAAGGAGAACCCCGCCGACCTCATGTCACGAGGTCTGACCACCTTGGATTGGTCTCCACTCCACTCTGTTGTTCGGGGACCAGTTGGTTGCCGCTGCCAGCTAAAGAATGGCCCAAGGAGAAGCGCGAGGAGCCACCTCGATATAAGCTCGAGGAGAGGGGACCGAGAGCTGACATATTGGACATTTCAACACCATCTGCAACGTTGCTTGATGTCACCGCATTCAGCTCAGCTTCAAAACTCAACAGAACAAGAGTGTGGATGTTTCGATTCCTTCACAACGTTAGGTCAACGGGAAAACAATCGGGGCCTCTGACTGCAGAGGAAATCCAAGGAGCGCGGACATATTGGCTAAAAGCTAATATCGGCGTTTGCCGCCAAGCTTCGACGTGCGACCAGCAGAACCGAGACCCCATCCACTTCTCCTCTTCGAGACTTCAGTAGTTTCATCAGCCAAGAGGTAGTGCTTCGCATAAGAGGGCGACTCCGATCGAACAACATGACATACGATGAACGAAACCCTATCGTACTACTGAAAGAGCATCGATATTCCACGGTACTTGTGATCGACGCTCACAGGATGGTGTTACACGCAGGAGTAAGACACACTCCAGTCCAGCTCCGCGAGAGGTATTGGATCCTTCGGGGTACGAGAGCTGGTGAAGAAGATGCTGCGCTGTGTGTAACGTGCCAGCGATTTAGTGCTATTCCGGCGAGTGCTCCAGTGCTCAAGCGGGACCTCTGCTGCGTACGAGAACGACGCAGGCTGAACCTTTCGAGGTAGTTGGTGTAGATTTTGCAGGACTGCTGTACATACAGGCAAAGGACGTCGTACATCACGCTGTTCACTTGTCCAGTGGCGCGGGTGGTCCACTTGGAGCTCGTACCAGACGTTTCAACGAGAAGTTTTCTTGTAGCTGCCCGTAAGTTTGTGTCATGGAGGGGACTTTGCCGCATCATCTACTCAAACAATGCGCTAACCTTCAAGCGAGCCTCCAGAGACCTGGCAGAACTTCGGAAGATCCTACGACACTCAGAAGTGGTGAATCACTTCGCCAATGCAACCATCGAGGGGAGTTTTATTGTTGAGCGTGCTCCTTGGTGGGGAGGATTCTACGAGCGACTGGTTTGATACGTGAAGGTGGGACTAAGAAAAGTGATCGGGAGAAAAACTATGAACGCAGCAGAAGAGTTGTCCACAGTCCTATGCGAAATTGAGGCGATGCTAAATTCTTGTCCCCCAACATTCGTTTACAATGAGCTTGACGAAGGCCAGCCGCTCACACCGACTAGCTTTTTCAGGGGAGGACGACTGACAGCACTTCCAGTGGCTGAAAGAGAAGACTTTGCGTCGTCTCCAGAGATGCTCCGAGAAATATGGAAACAAAGGAAAGCATTCTTTAACAGACTCTGGGTAACGGGAGGTCAGACTACCCGAGAGAACTTCGATCTGCCCTTGAAACAAAAGGCCAGCAATCGCCACGTCTGGAGGTGGGCGGGCTCGTCCTTCTGAAGGAACAGCTCCCACGTTTACTCCGGAAGATAGGAAGAGTTGAAAAGGTTTTCCGTGGGCGAGACGGCAGGATTTGTGCATGTATAGTGCGCCCGGACAGGGGCAGTCTTCTGAAAAGACCAACTTCTCTATCCGCTAGAGATAACAAATTTAAAATGGGGTAACACCCATTCGGTGGGGAGTCTGTACCAACAATCGGAGACCTGAGACGAGAAAATGGGCCACAGACGTTTTGAAAAGGAGCTCGTGGCAAGGGGCTGGCGACCGGGGGCTCGTGCTCGGAACAGATGCGATTGACACGTCAGATCGAAATGCTTTGCTGCTTGTGCATAGTGTAAATAAATGTTTCAAGTTCCTGCACAATCTACTGTCAGGGAAAAATAATATGCAAACAGAGGAGCACGTGGCTTGCGGTACAGGTTGCGCTGCCTGGAAGTGAGCCTAGGGGCGAAGGTGCGTGGCCTACTCCGATATGTTTATGCTCTCCGCTTGGCGCTCCCTAAGCTTCATCAGTGCGTCTCTTAGTGCACTGAAAGCTACCACCTCTATCTTTGCTCGCTCCGAGAGAGTGCGCGCTTTAGCTGCTATAAGCAGCAAGCTTCCTTGTGCCGCATGCGCCGAGTGAGCAAAGATAGTGGTGATAGCTTTCAGTGCACTAAGAGGCGCACTGCTGAAGCTTGGGGAGTGCCGAGCGAAGGGCGTAAACTCATCGGGTAGGCCATGCACCCTCGCCCCTAGGCTCGCTTCCAGGCGGCGCAGCTTGTACCGCAAGCCACGCGCTCTTCTGTTCGCATTTGATTTTTCCCCGACAGTACATGTTCCTTCAGCTTCAGCTTAGCAGTTGAACCGGGAACGGTGGTTAGAGATGAGCAGGTCCTTGCTGGGGCGTTCATATCCACTCGACAGAGTTGGGGGAGCCTCGACACAGTTGGCCTTTCGTGCAGCTCGGTACGACGGGTAGTGGCAATTGAGGGCGAGGGTTTCCTTCATGAGCTCTTGTACATAGGCTGAAATTAAGACTAGATGTTAGAAGCTGGTAGTTGTACTCGTTTTGACATCTTACCGTATGTGCAGGGCCCTTTCATGGGAGATGCAATCGGCCTCTTTGTTTGTTTAGGCCGCTTGACCAGGAACCTTTTTTTGCCTTCCTTAGTAGTCGCCTGTGGCCTGTCGCTGTTTTCGTTGAAATGCAGCGCTGCCACAAAGACTCTGAAAAGTTAAGACTTTAGCGGGCACATGCAAACAATTGGTTAGCTTGCATACCTTGCCTGCATGCTCTCGTAACCAAAGTGTGTCGACTTCGGTGCGAACTGGTTCACAGTGCTGTGAAAGCACTCAGTTGCGTAGGTTTGCGCTGAGGTTGAGAGCTGCGGGATGTCCTTCAGCAGTGGCTTTGACAGCACGATGCTCTTTAGCTTGTCGTGTGCCTGAAGTCCTGGATAAAGTAGGACACTTGTATTACAGACTGTGTGGTTTCAAATCTGCTATTACAACAATAACACTAAGGCTCATAAGAAAAAGTAGTAGTTTTGTGTAATTAAATTAAAAATATATGATATCCAGAGGTTAATAAAAGGGTTAGAGCTGATGAGAACAGATTAAATTGGGTAAGTTTAATAGGCTGCTACCAGTCCTGCTTACTGCCCGTGTTTATGATGCCTAGATTTTTTTATCGAATAGACCAAGCGATGCCGATTTTAATTTTGCAAAGGCATGATGCACCAAATCGTCATGCTTGGTTGACTCGTGTGCCCGAACATGTAAGTACAGGTCCCAGCGGTCCGTATAAACACCGCGCGGTAACGATGCACGCGGAAGAAAGCTGAAGCTACCACCTATCGGCTCACTCCCCTCTACCAGCAGTCATAGGTTCTTCCCTGGCTGCCACACGGACTAACCAGTATAGAGAGCCAGTAAACTTGCCACATTCATAACCAGACACCTTGAAACTAAGAACCAGTACAACAACTTGGTTGAAATTGTTAAAGAATTCAACCTGAGGCCAATTCAAAAGTTTTATGTGTGAGCAAATTGCGGTTCCACTAGAAAAGGCACACCAGGGCCCGTTTGCTTGAAGCGCTAACTATGGCTACAAGTTGACTGCAGTACCTAGGCGAGGGATTTTGAAATCACGCGACTGGCTCGGTAGAGATGCGGGGAAACATGGCAGTGCCCCGGTGAGTTAGCGCTGCTCGCTTTGGAACTAATATGTCGTTGTAGCTGCAGTATCGGGTGCGTTAATCAGCAACGAATGGTGCAGGAGCCTTCACTTTGCCTTACCTCACTTAAATCGCAAAGCATGAGCAATGACCTTGCCACATTTTTTAGTCTTTCCATTCTGGCCATTTCTAAGCCTAAATGAATGCGATAATTGTCAGCATGGCAACGTCTTTGGAAAACGGATTGCCTTGACTGAATCGGCCGGGTATTCATACCACACAAAAGCAGACAGCGTCGCAGCAGACCTTTTTCTAAATACCCAAGCATTGAGGAGAACGCTGAAAGTGTAATTCTATGGTCCACGAGCGCTGGTCTTCCTCTTATAAACGATTCAAAGTAAATAATCATAAGGCTTTGACAAGCATGCGTGCAAGGCAAAATTTGTTTTAGACTTGTGGGCAGACCAGTATGTCTGCCCACATCTCATTGCGCAATGTGTGGCACTGCTATCGGCCGGACCTGTTTGTTTGCAAACATGAGTTGGTGTATACTTCACAGCATCACTTGGTATGAAACACTAACATGTCAACACAGTTAATATGCTGTGGTCTACTTGCCCTCAGGAAGCCACTTTTTCTTCCCCAGGTCTCCGTGCTGGCACCTTGGATACAGGGGGTCGGCATGTTCGTGCAAGTCAGCCACGTGTCCCACCAGGGAAGTCCACTTAGGAAGGATCTCCTCTGGCGCTCCATCGCTGGATTCCGCACACCAATAGAGGTGCTTGACAGTTGCCTGCACCCAGTCTTGGAGTCCCACAAGGGATTTGAGTTTCCCAACTGAGACCATGCGTTTCTTGATGCCTGAAAAATGAAGCATTGTATTCATTCTGCTAAGCACCAAGCTTACATTGCCAGAAACAACAGCTTGACAAAATAAAGAGTTCATAATTATGAACACCAAAAACAAGAAAAACCCAATCCTGCCCCATTTTCTCAAGTATAAAAAAAAACATGGCGATACCTCACTCTAGGACACTTTACTTTTTAGACGCTTTCGTCGAGTGTAAAGTTTGTGCCTGCTGTCTTCGATGCTGCGCAAATAGTTACGGGACGGAAGAAACATCAACCCAAGCAGTTTGGGCTCCAAGTCGGCATGCGCATGGCCTGGTGAGCGAGATCGTTCCCAACCGCTCTGGGGACGCCACCTCGCCCAACCTTGCCAACCGCGACCGGACCCTGAGGCCGAAAGGCTCTGGCACAGCCAGGAACGGCACCGAGGTTGGAGCTCCTCTTTCTGCGTAGCATGCAGTGCTCAGAGCTATCGGCGTCTGTCCTTGCACTGAAGGCTCTAGGGACTCCTTCGGACACGAAGGTCCTATTTCGCGAGGCCTGGACAAGGGCCGCTTTACCGAGCAGATTTGCTATATGTCGCTCACATAGTTTGACAATAAAAGCTTGCGGTTCTTCTCTGGAGAAAATATTGCGGGCGACCACACGGACTGCTCTCCGCCGCCGCCGAGGGTGGCTGCCGCCATGTTCTCAGCTGTTCGCTTGCTCCCAGAGCGGGTGCCTTCCCATAATCCTCCCCGATCCAAATTGCGATGCAACCTCCATTTACATGTTTTGAATAAATGTGCATTCGCCATCTCAATCCACCTCTGTCTAGCGACTTGAATGCGATGCGCTCTCCTACTGTATTGTTTGTTTACATCACCGCATTGAATGCGACAACTGGATTCGATGCGACTAAGCCGCATTCATGTAAACACGGCTTATGTTTCAGCTTATATTGTACTGCAGCGAAAACTAGAAGCGCAAGCTCATGGCCTTGGCAGCTGCTCCTGCTGCACGAGAGTTTGTGCCGCCGAGCAGTTGCCATACAGCAAGGAGCTCCCGCTTGTAGCCTTTCCTGCAGTACAACATACGCAGAAACAAAGTATAGTGACAGACAAGGGTAGGAGTGTTCTGCAATTAAATGTTTTTTTTTGTTTTTGCATAACCTGGAACCCCGATTACTTATGGCTCACCTTTTGCAACGTGCCAGCAGTCGAACATGTGCCGAATCTGGGGGTACCACTTGGCAAGGAATGACTTGATCATGGAGTGGCGATCAGTGATGATTCCTCCCACAGTCAATCCATTGGCTTCACAAATCAGTAGAGTCCTTTTCAGGCCCTCGAGCTCCATTGCCCAGCTGCCCTTCGTTTCGTTGGACTGAAGTGACAAATAAAACATTGCATTATCACACCGAACATGAAGTATCCAGAACGAAGTCAACTAGAGCTGTTGAATGAGACAACCCATGTCTGAAACAAGTTGTTTTCGCCATTCATTTTCAATTAATTACAGAAAGGTTTCATTCCAGAAGAACAGAAGCATCAGAACATTTATAGCAGGGGAAATTTACCTGCACTGTTTCCACATGGAGAACCTTCTTCGTTGACACGTCGACGACGGTGTACGTTCCATATTTTGCTGAGTGCCCGGGGGAGTCTGACCGCCCATCACCAGCGAGGACCAGTTCTCGTCCACTTGCTTGCTCGAAGAGCTCGTTTTGTTTCCTGTTCCACACCTGGAAGTTTATTTGCAAAGACTTTTGTAAACAAACATAAATCCTGAACATGCTTTTCATTTCACCTATAAGTATACTGCAAGCTTCTTTTCTTTATGTGAACGTCCATGGAAGTTCAGCATTTAAGTTTGAATCCCAGTAAATGCGATCAAAGCATTAACGAATTGTAATTCGTCTTTCTTTCTTTTCAAAATGAGGGGATGAAATGCTCCGAGTCGTGAGTATAAATATTGAAGGCACATATGCACTACTAGGTAGATTGGCAAAACACTTTTTTACTTTTTATTATCTATGCAAGGGCTAGTTGATGAATAGCTTTTGACATTTTCCGTATTGAAACTCAAGAAGCATAGTTTTGCACTTATTTAGGTCGCATACACCCCTGCCTGTTCAGGTCTTGTTCCCCTCGTAGCAATCAACAAGGACAGTTTGGCTGCCGAGGAGCCGCCTTCTCAAGAGCGGGCTCGTTTTTTTAACCTTGAAGAAATGCCACCCCGTATAAAAAATAGAGTACTCGCCGATTAATCTTTACGATCGGCCTGGGAAACATTTATTTTTGATTCTTTTACTTATTCCCCAAATCAAAATCTTCCCTTTACACTGTACACTTATCCAGTAGGTGCAATCAGTCACGAAGCAGGAGAATAAGAACTAATTAAAAACGTTGCCTCCACGTTTAGAAACACATAGGGCGACAATTCACCCACATGGAATGCGGCGAGTCTTCGAGCTTGAAGTATGTGCCATGAACCCTGTATATACTTGCTTTGCCCACACAGTTGGTACCTTTCCACCCCAGGAGTGTGGTAAAAATAGGTGCAGAGGAACAGAGGACATCTCAGCTCTCCCTATTTACAATATTTTCCAGCACATAAGTTGTTTCTTACCTCAAATTCCTGTCACTGCATCTTACACAGAGGTGCGACTTACACCGCTTTTTTTGCAAGTATAAGCCATAGCTGTGCAAGGCCGTATCAAAGTTACAACAAAAGAGAATCGGCAGAGCCTGTAGTTTGTATGGCATCGCACAGACCTAGATTCATTAGATGTAGCCTCGGGTGCTGCAGTGTATTGAATCGTACAGACCTAGATCCATTAGATGTGGCCTTCGGGTCGGCGGATCAGCTTTTCCTTACAATTGGAACCTTGGCAATATGCCGGCTTCCAGCAGAGCTTACAGCCGGCCATATCAGAACAAATTTCCCACGGTAGTTCGCAAGAACATTGAAGCTGGCTCTTACTTGTGCTTATATTACAATATACATATGACAGCTTATCAATGCAGTTTTGCCTTGCGGCCCGTATAAAGATGTGCCACCTATAGACGTTTGCAAGTACGGCCTCGGGGCGCCGCCACCTTGCCCAGTTGGAGTGCACTTGGGCGCATTAAATTCGATTACGATGCCTCACTAAGGTGTCGTAATCAGACTATGGCCGCGCCCAAGCACAACCCAACTCGGCAAGATGGAGGCACCCTGAAGACGCACTTGCAAACATGTATATATCAAGCTTTTTGTAAAAACAGCCGTTTATAGGAGTGTTTGACTTGTAGACAGAAACATATGGTGCTTCCTACGCATGTACTACACCATTCAGGATCCCATAGGAGTGCTGAGCCTGAAATATTGGCACCTAAAATACACCTCTCACAGGAAAGGAAAAGCTTGAAAACGTGCCATACCTGTCTGATCGCTGGTAGAAGGAAGGCACCCTGAATCTTAAAGTATGTCTCGTACGATAAACAGGGCACGCCCATCTGGTGGAGGAGCCTTAGCACTTTTTTGACGATGCTCCCAGAGAAGAGCGTTGCTGCAGCTAGGAGCACATCGCCCAGGGCCCTCCTATTCACTGATGGTTGGCTGGTCCAGGTGTGTTGGTGGCCATTGTTGCACATTCTGTGCACCCGGAGACATGTCCCTCTGATCTTCTTCTCTGTGATGCGGCACAGTGCAGTGCACTCGGGACAATTACCTAGTAGCTCGTCCAAACAAGACTCGAAAACAATAAACTTTCGTTCCGAGACGTAGTCGATGCTTTTGCTGCTCTCATGCTGACTGAGTGCGCTGTCAGATGCAGTGTTCTGCTGTGCATCCCTGGAATAAAAAAAGAAAAGAAAAAAGCAACCTCTTACACACCCTCTCATACTCGTCACTAAAGATGACATATATCCGACTGATACCAACCTCAGAAAGCCGGTGTCGGACATCATCATGAGGAAGCTAGCGTCAGAGGGGAGGTATAGGCTGTCTGCTTCCACGTGTGGCTCTGGCAGCTCCGTGGGACACTCTTCAACAGACTCTTCCTGGCCTGCACTGGGCAGCTCATTGTTTATTGTTGGCAGCTGTGGTGGGTCCGGTGGTGGAGCTGGTTGTCTGCGCACTGGCGGCTGCGGCGACAGAGTCAGCCCTTCAGGCAACATCCAATCCAATGGAGCCTGGGGGACATGATTTGGTGAGGAGCATCGTGGTGTCACGAGGACAGGATTCGTTTGGGACTTTCGTGATGAAGTCTTCAAGGTGACTTGTATGCCTGTGCCATCATAACGTGTTACAACGATCTGAACAATGCTGCCTTCTGTGAAATTTATTCTTGCAGATACATACCTCGATTTCTGCAGATGCCTGAGGTCTGCGTAGCAGCGTTCCGAAGGTCAGGTTGAGCCTGTTTGGCATTACTGATGGAGGGGGCTGTTCACAGCAGAGGAAATAAAGTGTCTTTCAAAACAAAATCATCCTTGGCTCATGTAATCAGCAATAGGCTAGATTACCCTAATTTGGCAGAATTCAGTACTAAAATATGTCAGCCGAGTAGTTTCAATTGGCGCACATACCTGAGCTCGAACAAGGTTCTTCGATGCCAGCATTTGCATCATGCATTGGTTCATGTCCAGAGTCAGGACCTTGCTCAGTGTCGTCACCAGAAGGGGTTGACGATGTGCTGACTTCTTCAGCGATGAGTGTGGCCTTTGCTTGTGCCGGTGCCTCCAGCAATTCAGCAAGTATCTATAAATGATAGGCATAAAAACTTACAACATGCAAACAAACACACTGTCAATATGCTGCTAACACCCAGGTTCTGCTCAAATGAGGGTGACTGGCCCAAGCCCTTATCTTCGTTAGGCTCATGTCACTCTGTGTACCCTCCTCATCTTGACTTTGCTTGAACTGGTAAGCAAATCACACCGTCAAGTGCACAGTCATGAACACTAAGATGAAACGGTCGAATGACGACCGAGGTTAATTAGTGGCCTTGCCTCGAGTCGAGAAATTGAACAACACTTGTAATAACCTCTTGATTGGGGTGCAATTGTCATAAATGGCCAGCTGGTGTTCTTAGTGAACTTTATAAATAAACACCACACTCCGCGAGATTAAGACAGAGTAACTCAGCAAAAGATTTCACAGTGTTTATTTTTGTTCTAAATTGGCACACGTTTAGCAGCATCTATTTTTGGCACTAGAATTGATTTTTGCTGCAATTTAATTCCATACACCACCAGGTTTTTAGGCATTCTCGGCACTTGTCGACGTGAAGCATTACTGCGAGCATGTATTCAATGTATGGGAAGAACATAGACGAAACAAGATCTTATAAACCGGCACACTGTTTACAAAAAAAGCCTGCATTTGCCCACACCAGGTGTGGGGACTGTGCGAACGCAGAAACCGAATTCACGTGAAGTGAAGCCTCTGCGCCTGCGCAGTGCCGTCAAGAGTGCCACCGCAGCTGCGTGACGTCAGGGCCGCGTGTTGGTCTATAACTAAGATATGGTCATAGTAATCAGAAATATAAACAAGGGGTGGAAATATGTACCATAACAAGGTTCTCATTAAAAAAAACTGCAGCGCTCTTTTTCATTTATTTTCCGCAGTTGAGAGAAACTGCCGTCCAGGTTAACACTGAACAGATGAAGCGACAGCAGCTTGACCACCTCATCAGGGAGAGCAGACCAGAGAGGAAAATGAGTTTTCCAAAACAGAATGATGTATACAGGCACACTTTTCTAAATGGCGTGGCACTCATACTGTGAGTACCCTATTCCGAAATTCAACAGCATCTCCTTATGCGCCACAATGAAGAATAGCACATGCTCAAGATGCCGCGGAGTTTGCACATCCTGCTCAAGCTCGGAATATACCCGCTGCAAACCAAAAGGAAGTACGTAGATCATCAATTAACCACATTCTCCCAGGAATGGTTCAGCTCGGTCCTATGTGCCATTTTCAGGTAGCCCAAATCAAAATTCGATATTTATTGGTTTATGCCAAATTTCTCAAATTAAAATTAGCTGGCATTTATCAGTAGTAATAAAGATAAATACCAGCCTTCACAACTGAGCCAAAGGTGCCGGCGCAAGCTCGTAGCTTCAAAGCAAGTTTCTAGCAAATGAGCCCGAAAACCGAGTGCCATCGCCGCAGCTACTATACTCCGTTTCACCTTATGTTGTACCGCAACGAAGGCAAGAATCGCGAGCTCACAGCGTAGGCAGCTGCCTACGCTGTGGTAGGCAGCTGCCTACGCTGTGAGCTCGCAGGAAAGGCTACAAGCTCGAGCTTGTAGCCTTTCCTGCGGTACATCATAAGGTGAAACAGAGTATAGCTGCAGTCTCGCCATGTACACGATATCGACAGTGGAGCACCTGCGATTGGCGGCAACCTTTCGTCCGGCTAAGGGCACGATAGCGAACACGGATATAGTACACACTTACCCTGCGCGACGCTGCTAGCGAAAACGCGATCTCGGCGTTTCTCCGCGCTCGTCCTCAAAGGCGAGTTAGCAGGCTTGCGCTAACAGCGTCGCGCAATGTACTACGCTAATCTCACGACCACTCGCATTCGTGCTTTCCTCTCAGAAACAAGCAGAAAAATATTTTAGTAACTGCGCTCACCTCTTTCCGTCGCCGTTTTTCCACGGCGCCGCTGTGCCGCTCTCGCTTGCGTTTTCGCGTGAAGAGCGATGGCACCACGTCAGGCTTCAAATAGGCCTGTTTTACAGGCAAGCCCAGACTTTGCAGTAACTTCGGGCTCGTCTTGTAGTCCTCGTCTTCGAAGTGCTCCGTGCAAAGACAATCGCCTTTGGCGGGCTTCCATGTTGGCTGGGAAGGACGGGCCGCGCGAATCCACAGCTTCCGCAACGTGGGCTCACTCGGAAACTTGTGCGCAGGCCTGCCGCTGTAACATACGCTGTTCGAGCAGTCTTGTGCAGCGCAGTACCGCGGCATAATTATTGAAGAAACTGCATCAGAATGAGGAACACTCGGCGCGGTTCTCCATTAGGACTGCAGCGGGACAACCGAGTCTGCCAAGGAGCGAGAGGTCTGTGACGTCAGTTCCGCTAGGGCTCCTCCGCGGTGGCGTCAATCGCACCGGCGGCTTCCGGCCGACGGATTGCTCGAACGCGGCTCTTCAATCAAAGAAATATAATAATCCGATCACCATCCCTTGGTATGGTCTTGATTTTTAGGTATAGTAACGTCCCGGGCAGCTCGTCCGGGGCTTATTTTGAAAAGTTCAGATATCGGTTCAGTATCTCTTTAATGGCAATGCCCTCCGAGATCCATATGTCCCAATAAAATATGGTATGTGTGTGACGCTGGCGTATTTTATAAAATCTTTTTTTGTAATAGTAAAAATCACCCTCTGAAATTAGACACCATAGTCTCTAAGCCTTGCGATCTTCAAGTTTCGTATTTGCGAGCGCCTCTCCCTGAGGAATCAGAGGGTGTCGAGCTCCCGTCTCGCTCACCTCACTCCCGTTCCCACCCTCTGGTCACATGACATCAGCGTTAACCAATCATGTCGAGCACGTCGCTCCTCCTCTACCACCCGTGAACCAATGAGCGTCGAGCCTCGCGGCCACCTTTTACCTGGGCTTCACAAAAGGCCAAACACCTAGCCAAAAAATGTTTCTCGTTAAAAAATGAAGACAGATACTACAAACAAAAAATGTGTAGTCTCTTTTTTTTGTTTTTTTTTTTCGTCAATTTCTTTTCGATACATATTGACCTCTGCTTTGCGCGCTCAGTTTGTTGCTGCGTATGTTTTTCTATCTGCTAGTTTTGTATGCGCTGTGTTAGGGTGTATGTTCCGGCTGTCATTTTTGGCCAGCGCCCGATCAGACAATGCCTCAACCGCCGCGTAGGAGAAAACATAACGCAGGGTAAAAAGGATCAACTGTCTCCTTCCGCAACCTCTCGTTAATCGGTATCCCCATTGAGAAGGTACCACCTCTTCAAGTCAGCAATGTGAACCGGGCCAGATTCCTTGTTGGTACGGCGCGAGCCACTGTATAACTAAAAACGCGGTACACGTGTTGTTACTTTCCAGCACTGTTGGTGCTAACCCGGTACAAGTACCGGCACTTCCGGTAACGTGTTACTTTTTAGGGCAAGGTTTGAATGTTGTAACATACTTGTTAAGTTTTAAAACGGTAACGCGTAGCGTAATTACGTTACGTACTAACACTACAAAGAAAAGTAGTTACGTCACGCGTTACATATTCTGCCCAATACTCAAACAATGTCACTTAAATTGTTTGGTGTTTAAGGCACGAAAGGATATAAATAATAATGTGCTTTTGTTTTTCGTGTTGCTTTCTCATGTGTACTTAGGTGGAACAGTAAAAACGATAAAGTGATTAAGTTCCGCCTCTTGATCGTCATAATGGTCTTTAATATATCGGGCTTATGCATACATGTAACGTCAAAAATGTAAAACGTGTTAATTTCTAATGAAGAATAACGCAAGAGTAGCCTGCGTTACTTTTGAACGGTAAAGGTAAAGCGTTCTTGTTATTTCGAGGTAATGCAGGCCGGTAACGCGATTCTTTCATTTGCAAGTGAGGAGAAACGTATTTCGTTAGTTTTTATTGGTAACGCCTACAGCCCTGCTAATTTTCCGCTGGCGGAGAATTGAATTGGTGTTGTCGCGTATTATAAATTGTCCCGCTAAGTGTAGCGAAGAAACTTATTTTGTCCGCTAAATCTAGCAAAGAAACAGAATTTGCTTGCTTAATTTCGCGGAGAAACTAATTTTGTCTGCTAAATATACCGAAGAGAATTTCCCCGCTAAATTTAAGGGGGAATTGAATTGGTGTTGGGGGGAGAGGTCACGTGACGTCAATTTTTACGCGAAATACAGCGCGGTTACTCCGACGCCGACGCCGCGAACCACGGAAACTAGCGCCTAAGAGCTCCGCTCTAAAACACTCAACCAGCAAAAAAAAAAAAAAAAAAGTTTGACGAGAGGACAGAAGGTGGATTCTGCGGACAAGCATGACACAACGTGATTTATGAACAGTGGCGGTGAAAGACAACAGCTTGCAAAAGAGCGCGAGCAGGATATCCGTGTTTGAACGACCCTCGCGGCATGCCTATCGGAGCTCGATTGGTGGACCTCAATATATCACTCCCGGAGAAAGAGCAGGGACAGCAGGAACCTTTACGTCCTTGTTAGCTCCCGGTGTTTCGGAGCCTCTCTCCCTCCTTCTAAATTCAGGTGCGGATGCGGTGCGCAACGTGTGTTTTTTTCTCTCGGACAACGGATCCAACTATGTTTTTTTTTTTCGTTTTTTTTTTTGCTTTTTGTTGTCATATATTATTAAACTGCCTC